ACCCCAAAAAAAAAAAAAAAAAAAAAAAAAAAAAATCCAAAAAACAAAAACAAACCTGAAAAACAAAAGAAAAGTATGTGTTATATATAGTGACCTAAATAGCTTACATCTACAAAGTAGATGAAACTGGATTTGTAAGACTTTTTATCTTTACGATATATAAAAGTGATACATGCATAACTGCCTTGAAAATAGGAAAAAGTAGGTGGATGTTGCTGAGAAAACATTGTTATAACCTTTTTCCTTTTGAAGAAAAATGTAAACCACACTGAAAGCCCGTACTTCAGTCAATTTTGTGTTAAAGTAAATAGTAAAAAGGGTAACCTTATGGGATGCACAAGTTAAAGAGGGTCCCTGTTATTACTGCAATAAGTGGAGAATCCTTTATTCAACAGGTAGATTATATTAATATTCCCATATTCCAGTTGAGGAAACTAGGGACTGAAAAATTATTTTACTAATAAAATGTGCTCAAGGCAACAACTCATAGATGTGATATAAAGTCTACCTGTAACTGGAGCTTTGTGGAATTCTGAGAATCTGATGAAGGTTATAAACCCTTTCCCAGGATGGGGTGTTGCTCAGTGGCAGAGTGCATGCCCCGTGCACTCAAAGCTCTGGGTTCAGTCCCAGCATCAGATAAAATAAACCAAATCCTATTTCTAGAAACAAACATTTTTACACATGCCTTAATCTTCAGAAGGTTCATGGATTTCCTGGAATTCTGAATTCCTCCAGGACCTCTAAAACTATCTTGCAGTCACAACTTAATGACAACTTCTTAGGGCAAAATGGAAAGGTACATGGGAAAGTCACCGCATGGCGGGACTGGAGGAAGGACGGGGAGCAGAAACAGAAACCCCTGCAGCGGAGGCTGGCGTGTGCTTCCCAGACACAGCGGCTCTCAATGAAATGGAAGTGTTTGCTAAAGAGGCAGTGGCGAGGAGGCTTTCTTAGGGAGTTGGGGATAGTACTTAGTGCATGAGGTGAGAAGGCGTGAGGCTGGTCTCTACACAGCACACCCTACACTGGAGCAGAGAAGAAGGCAACTTCTGCGTACACCATCTTCCATCTCTCTTTCCCATGTCTGGTCAGGTGGGACTGACTCCAATTTCAACTCCAGAACAGGCCGCCACTGGCCCACACCTGACCTGTGTAATCCTATACCTCTGCACAGAGGCTGAGGCTCTGTGAGCCAAGCGTGTCTGGTCAGAGGGCACTCACGACCTGGTGGAAGAGAAACCACCTTCCCCCCTAGGTGACAAGCTAAAACAAAGTCTGACAGTCACAGGACGTGCTGAGGCAGCCGAACCCGAAAGAGGAGCCAACGAGAGTACGAGTGACAGAGAGAGAGAATGAGAGAGAAACACGCTCGGAGGACGTCACTGAAATCCCAAATCACACCTTTCCTGCAGCCTGCCTACTCTGTAGCTAGTAAACTCGTTTATTATCGATAGATAGCCCTCACACAGCACAGTGTTTACATTTCATTCTAAGTAACTGGGAACTACCGACTTGTTCATCAGGTGAGCGGAATGTTTAAAGATTAAACTGGTAGAGGGATATAAGGAAAATACTATGAGCAGAATTAGGGACGATGTCTTGAATTAGGAGGGTGGTAACGAGTGTGGGAGGACAGGAGAAGTTCCGTTGAGATAGACTTGAAGCTTGGCTCTGGTCAGGGGGCGGGCAAGCAAGGCGCGTTCCGACACCGAATCCACGGCTTTATTTTGAAAGGACGATTTCCCATGCAATGTGGTACAATCACACAATGAATGATCTCCCTCACGCTACCAATCTTTAATTATACTAGCCAAGTATTTTATTAATGGGCCACACATAACGTGAAAGTACTCAGAAGAAAGATGAACGTAATACGGCAGCAAAACAAATGATGTTCTTTTCGGATGACGTTGATGTTTCACTTATATACAGCTTCGGAACAAGGGTGAGATAACCATATAAATTAGGACTTTTTTTTGTTAGCGCTGGGGATTAAACCCAGGGCCTTGTGCATGTAAAGCATGCACCCTGCCTCTGAGCTACATTCACAGCCCCTCAGGATTTGACTGGCTGAACAGCCGAGGGTATAAGGTCATCACACACATAATGGGGAAAAGGAATGGAGGGGAGGCTGTCTCTATTCCACAGATCCAAAGCAGGGCATACGAGGAAAAAGATGGATGCTTTTCTTACATTGCGCTGGAGGGCCACCTGTACAGGGGGTAATAAATCACCCTGAACCAGCAGTGTCCAGCCAGGCTCCGCCTCTGGCATCGGCTCCAGTGGGCAAACACTGCTGACTGACTCTTCTCTTTCTCCGTCTACAGGAAACTCTTTCGCCTCTTGGCTGGCACTTATGTAGCAGCAATCGCTGTGGTCTGCTCCTCTCCAGGACTCTGGGATGCCCACTGTTTCCCTGCTCCTCCATCCCCTCCATGCCTACATGAGAACACCACTTGGACTGGGTAGCTTTTATTTTTATTTTTTGTGGTACTGGGGATTGAACCCAGGGTCTTTGCACTGAGCTCTATCTCCAGTCCTTTTTCTATTTTGAGGCATAGTCTAAGTTTCTCAAACTGGGCTTGAACTTAGGATCCTCCTGCTTTAGCCTCCCAGAATGCTGGTATTTCACAGGAGTGCACCATCACACCCAGCACATCCAGAGTATCTAGAGCAGCTGTTTGTAGCAAAATTACTCACCCACTGATTCCAATGACAAATGTCTTCATAATTAGCTTTGAATATCACGATATTTCCTAAAATTAAAAAAAATGAACGTTTATCATTTAGCTCTTTAGGGAGGTAAGAGTGATCCTGAATTAGCAGCAGCAGTGAAGTGAGGATGATGACGGTGATGGCTTGGCTACCCCAGCCTGCACTTCCTATAGCAGGGACAGCTTCAGGCCTGGGGTTCAGGCTGACTGGCTACCGCAGCGATAATAGCTGACTGGTGCTCAGGGCCTCTGTTTCCAGGGGGTGGGAGGCTTTTCAGGCACAGCAGGTCTAGGGTTCCAGCCTCTTCCTGCTCAAAGGCCTTTCACCTGAAGATTCGGTCACCAGTGGTCAGTTTTCCCAGAGACAGGGAGACCACAGAGGTAGCCCCTTCTCTCCCCTCCAGAGAGAAAAAGCATATGGCGGCTGGCCAGAGGGAAACACATGCCAAAGTCCTTTCATAGCACTGTTTCCTAACTCCACAGCCTACATGTAGGGGCTGCTGAGGCAAACTCTTTTGGAAACAGATCTGATAGTAAATATTTGAGGCTATTTGGGATAAGAAGTCAAATCTGAGTTATTACATTGGGACTTATATAACAAAAGAAAAAGCAAATTTTCACAAAAATATTTACAACATTTAAGATATATAATAATGATGGAGCGTTTTGGGGGTTAATACAAGTCTGCTCGTGATGGGAATGGAATTTCTCTTTTATTGGAATAACATTTTCTTTAGCTACATTTCTAAGCTAGCATTCTCTGTTAATGAAGCTGTCAGTGTCAGGCGGATGGCCAGATTCAAGCCACAGGCTGTTTTGTTGAACCATGGTCTAGGGGGCACAGGGTATTTCATCCCTGCTGCCCTAGGCTTCTCCAAAGTGGCCTCTGGATCAGAAACCATCTTGACTGCTAAGTGAAGAGTTAAAGTTTGGCTGAGGGGCCCTGAGAAAGAGGCTCTTCATGGTCATTCCTGACGGAGTTGCTCTTGCTGCCTGTCTGCCCAGGAACCAAAGGGGTACGCAGCCGAAGTGGGTGGCTGTTGGGCTGGAGGGCACCCTCTCCCTGACCTGTGTTCATGCTCCCGTGAGGAAGGGCTGTGAAGAACAGCCTGATGGGGAGAGAGCTGCAGCTCCTGAGCTATTTCTCAGCTCACTGGACTATTCCAAATTGAGAGCAACTGTTAAGGTTAGCTTCTATTTTCATTAGCAGTCGGTGGGAAACAAGCGTTCAAGACTGATTGTGATAAAAACAAACTAGCAGGAGGAGTTGGGTATTTGAGTTTCACCTGGCGTTGCACTACTGAACATGTTACACCTCCCTCCAAATGCAGATCAAGGCAACAAATGCATTCAATGAGTATTGTAAAATAAAGTTTTATGTTATAGTTCTTCTGCTTTTGAATTTTATTTTGTCTTATTTTTGACAACCTTTTTTTTGAGTAGGGATAGTCTGCCCTTTATCTTGAGATGGGATCTGTCTTACTTTTATGGTGATAAATAAGCTTTCTGTCACAAAATCATGTTGTCACTGGACTGTAGTAGACTGGTGCCCTCATTTACCAAATTAAAGAAAAAAAATCACAAAATGTTGTTATCATTCCTTGTTCCTATCTCATTTATTTTTGGATAGTTCGTTGCAGCAAAATTTCTCTAGCTCAGGGAATATAGCGTTAGAGATCATTTAGGGAACCCTTCATCTCACAGAGGTGGAAACTGGCTCCAGCAGGATGACAAGACCACACTCGTACAGCAAGTACCTGGAAAAGTCAACTAAATCAATGGAGTTAGCATCTTTCCATCATTCCAAGCTGCTATGAAGCACTTCATTAACAAGAGCACAGAAAAGTTGCACGAGCGCTAGCATAACTGCCAGTCTAATGTATAATTGATGCCATGCCTACTGATACATTACTGATGGGGCATTGTGTTTGCTGGGCACACTGGTTGGAAAGGACTACCAGCCCTGTCCTAAATGTGACATCTGTGCACACGTGTGAGGATGATGCATCAGTTTCCTAGCATGTAAATAATAAGCGAATGCAGTTGTAGCTGTTGTGGTAGTGTCAGGGGACACTCATGTGGAAACTCTAGCAGGTAAGAGACCAGAAGTGACAGGAGTCAAAACCCTACTTAAAAAATTCTTGGGGCAAGAAGGGAGTGAAGTCCTACAGCAAAACCAGCTTTTTTAACTCAACCTGAGTTCCACACTGGTCGGCATTGGTCAGCCTGACTGTCTAATGCAGTCAGGCAGCTATGTTTAGCAATGAGCAGACAACAATGTAAGATGGTGGGGAACTGGGCTGGGCAGAGAAAGGACAGGCAGCTGCGCCCAGTGACTAGGTATGCAGGGGTGAGCCTGTGAATCCCAAAACCATGTATTTCAAACACAGTGAAGAACTCACAGGGTCTCAACAGAACTCCAAGTTCAGGCCTGACACTGCCCACCTCCACATCACATCTCTCTCCTCCTTTAAAAACTATTTAAAAACCCAATTTAAAGTTTGCAATCAGGACTTGCCAGTATCTAAATCTATGCAGTGAAGATTCAATAAATAAATGCAGATAAATCTATGCAGATTTCATGAAGGAAACATGAAGTCTGAACAACTACAAATGTAAATTACATGTTGTCTCTGAAGAAATAACTCTTTTGAACTTTGCAACATCCCAGCCCAGAGCATCCCATTGCTAGGGCATATGTGCCACCTCCGATCTCACAGAACATTTATGTGGTTTATTTTCCCAATATGCACAAAACTTTCCTCAACAGAAGAGTATTTGCATAGGGGGCAGAGAGACTGGGACAACCACCAGCAGACCCAAAATGAGTCATTTTAATATGTTCATACTTATAGTTTTTTCCCTAAGTAAAACGTTGACTCTTTTTTCCATAATTGCATATGTCAATGTTTAATTCATTTCGCTACTACCATCTTGGATTTTTAACCACAAAATCATTCCATAGGCATGTAGCAAGTCAGCACTTTGTAAGGAAGAGAGTAATTCCCTGGGGCAGTAATAGTCTGAAAGACACAACTGCGAACAAAATGTGCTTTTCAAATGTGTTTGAAGGGCAGTCTCTTCTTATGGGCTTCACTGTTTTCAGGACTTCTCTCTTATTTATTTTTGTCAATAGATATTTTGACTATTCTTCCACCAAACAAGGCAGTTTTTCCTACTTGTTTAGGACTTTGCTCACTTTTAGTAAATACAGAAATCTCCCAACGCTGGAGTTTCTACAATCTATTCCGCTTCTCAGTTAGAATTGTTTTTTAGCGGAAAATGTGAAGCTTCATTTTATGCAGGTTCTTATATAATAGTTTGTTTCTCCCATCTACCCACTGGCTTTATAATGCTGACCGTCATCTGAACTATCTTCCAATGTCGTCTGATAATCTGCTGGGTCAGGCTTGGGCTAGCTTTTTCTGTAAAGTTCCACAGAGAAAATATTTTCAGCTTTGCGAGTAGGTAGCTGCTCAACCCCGCGATGGGAGGGAGACGATGGCCAGACAACCCATAATCAAATGGGCATCCTTGTACCAGTTCAAACTGCATGGACTCCGAAATCCGAATTTCATAGAATTTTCACGTGCCACAAAAATACTACTTCTTAAAATTACTGGTCTTTTGCTTCCCTCTCGGCTATTACAAAGCGCAGAAAGCATTCCTAGCAGGCTACGGACCCCGGCAGCTGACGGT